TGCACGGTCACATGCATATTACATGCCGTAGCCTGGGCTCTCCAAAAGGTGTGTGAATACTATACACTTATATACACAATCCCATCTACCAAACTTAACACAGACTCCGGTATCTCACGAAATGGAACTTCATCAAAGATGAAGTCGTCGAACCTGGCAATTTTGCGGGGGCGATTGGAATGCATGTCTTCGAGCTTCTCTTCACTAATGCGATGCTTCCACGCCACATAGCTGTAATGCTTCTCTTGACACTGTTTGTTAACTGTCGCCAACAGACGAGAAGAAGGCATTGTCGACTGGTCTAGAATCTCCGATGGATAATCGGCCTCGAATTTTGTCATTCATGCACTGACCTTCTCATGTCCCAGCTTCGCTGGGAAAGTGTCTGTCCATGTGGAGGAAGCCGAAAGCGGCGATGGAAGTGATTGTGTAGTCGGGCTCTGAGATGCAGACAAAGAAACCACACTTGTCAAGCAACGGTGATATGCAGCTTTCAGGCATGCAATGGAAACAGGGTTCAGTGAGGCATGCAATGTACCGGGGACTGCATCCCGAATGGCCTCCTCCAGCTGATCTGCACTGGATGTAAGGCAAGCAAAACTGTTGGTCGTAAGAATTCGCGAAAGTGCAGTTGAGAGCTCGGCTGGCACCTTCTCCTCTCTAAAAATGCTCTCCAAGCTGGACATACTCGACCTGGGCCAGGTTGCCGAAAATTAGGAGTTCGGACGAGAGTGGGAAAACCGAGTCCACAATGAATGAGCAATGGCTCGAGTTCCAGAACTAGTAAGTGGTAATGCGAATGCAAAGGAGTGAGCAAGTCAGAATGCAAAGTGTGCTGCTGAGTTAAATGTACTGCCAGTTCTGATCATGTCGCAGGTAGCTTGCATGTTGGTGAGCTGAGCTGGAAACAGCAGCAAGGAGGGTATGCAATCGCCAAGGCACACCGACCGACAATGATCGGTCTAATGGAGTCGCAAGCATGAGAGCACACTCTGGCAAGTGCAAGCTCAGAGGAATGTTTTATGCACCCTCGATGCCTGGGGGTGCAAGGTCTGCCCCATGGTCAACTGAGTAACCCGAGGCAATGCTTAAAAAGGAAGGATGAACCTTCAAGGATGCAAAGATGGACTGAAGACTCCAAACAAGTCCTCAATCGTGGCATCCAGTCGCCATGGATGTATAAAGTCCTCCTCTGAAATCCTCAGAAGGAGGAATGAACGGAAAACAGGCATCATGAGGGTACTGAAATGAATCAGTACCCTCGCCAGGACCAATATCCACCACCATTCCAACCAGAACTCCAGCCATTGTCGCGCCACTCCGACCAGTTGTCATCATTGCCTGCATGGCCATCATCGAATGTAGAATGCAATGCAGGCTGCTTGCTGTCTCTATAGCAGCGTTTGCATAAATGTACTTGGTCGTCACTCAGAAAGTGACTGTCTTGAGGGAGCTCTGATGAATAGCCACAAAGGCCAGCGCACGAGGCGCAAGGCTCGCGGCAGCAAACCACCTGTCTGGTGGTGCTTATCCTGCACCGGTCACCCCCGGTGACCGGGGCAGATGTAGGTGGAACGACTTGTCTCACCCCTCTGTTGCCCGATGCAATGGAGTCCCCTGCACCACCTGTAGATGCAGAGGGACCAGCCACATTGCCCGTGTCCAATGGAGGCGACTGAGCCGTTTTAGCACCTGTGCCCTGGCTTGCAGAGCTCTGCACTGGGACATCCGTGCTCGATGTAGCCAGGTGCTGTGGAGTCTGTACCAGCTGCTGGAGAGGGCAATGGATTTGAGGGAGCTGTCTGTCCAGAAACCGGATCAGTGGATGTACTGTTGTCAGTCGTCCGGGTCGATGTAGCACTCTTTCCACTGCCCTTCTCGTAATGGAATCTCAAGCTGGCATCTGTGCTCAATGTAAGAGACAGAAGCAGCTTGGATCGTCCTGAGTCCGGTCCTCCCCTGATCACAGACGACAATTGCTGCACGTCTGTGTCGTAGAGGAACTGGAGGGCGGTTCGGACCTCGGATGGATCGCGAATTTTCTCCATCGCAGCTGGGAGATCAGCGAGAAAAATGTAGTCCTACCACCGGGAGCCAAGTGATGAAAGAAGTCCGTCGAACTTGCAATGGAATGTAGTGATAAAAAGGTCAACTGTGCACCTAATGTGATGAAAGCGGTCGCAATGTGGCTCTACCTTGTGGAGGGCTGAGCCAATGTACCGGCAGTCGCAAGCCGAAATCAAAACAATGCATCGCCATGAGGTGCCAGACAAGACTGAAGCATTGCAGGTGATGGTGACCTGGTTTTGACGACTGGCTTCAGATGCAAGAAAGCTCAGTCAAGTGCTGCAAATAGTGCAGCACACGCACGTGCTCGGCATAACCGAGCTTTGCTAGATGGATGAGTGATCACCCGAAAGGCCCCTCGGCAATTGCAAGCCGGCCTGCCTTGAATGGATGCATGTAGAATGTCCGAAGTTTCTGCACACAAAAATGCAACTTCATCCGCAGGGCCTATGGAATCATGTAGAGAACCGTCCGATTCAGACGTCTCCTCCTCAAGGGGAGTGTCGCCTGATGTAACAATCTCGAGTTTGCACTCAACGGCTGGAAAGGTGCTATCCGAAGCCGAGGCAGCCACTGCTGGTTGAATCTCCTGAGGCGAAGCTTCCAGAGCAATGTTACTAACACCAGCAACATCCGATGCAACGGAACCAGTCGTTGATGAGGTCGAGGCCTGCACAACTCCTGGGTACGAGACATGGAAGAACGGGAGCGATGCGATGTAAGGCACCCACCCTAGATCTTCGGAGGTTAAGTCCACCTCAGGCTCAGATGCAACATATGAAACTCCACGAAGGACAGGTGTTCGAGGACGCCAGCCAGCATGAACTCGTTCCACAAATGAAAACTGAGTTGTCAGGATAGGTGCGATATCGTCCCGACCATATAATGTAGTGGAGGGGGCAAACACATGGTGCCCCTGTAGATGACGAGCCTCCAACGAGAAATCTGCCTGTCGCCAAAATGAAAGCAGTGTGACCTTCATAGAATGTAGAGTATATTGCAAGCACTGTTCAGGTGGTACCCGGTCCCACCGAAGCAAAAGCTGTCGAAGCTGAGACAATGTTTCAGCATATGACATCGGTCTGACTTCCCCAGCCGACAAGGACAGAAAAATGTAATCAGGGAAATCTGATGTATCCCTGCATAATGTGACCTGTTCGGCCATGGCTCGCAACCAGTGAAAAACCCAGCACTGATGTAGTGGCATTTTGCAGAGGCCACTGACCAGGCAGCCAAATGGCATATACCGTTTCGTTTTGGTGTGGTAAGCAACCCCTCGGATGCTATCGGCATCGATGTAAATGTCCTGCAAATGGAGATGCTGTGCATCTCCAAATCTCAAGCTACTCCAGATACACAGAAGCACCGCGCCAGAAAACAATGCATCTTGAGGGGAGAACCGACCCAGCAAAAGGGAGACCTCAAGCCAATGCAAAAATGCAAGAGGCAGTGGAACTGCCTCCCTGTTGGAAGTCGTCGAGTGCCAAGATTTCGAATGAAATAAGCCATCATGTAATGAAGGGAATGAGTCTGGTTTCACAGTGGAAGAAAACCATCGCAAAGCCTTAAGTACATTGGTCGAATGGACTGAAGCTGAACGACTTCGCGAATGCTGGAAAACATGTATAGCATCCAGCAACTGAACTTGTGAGATGGAGTCCACCAGCAAACGGAGGTCACAAATGGTCGTGCAAAGACCCCACAAGACAGCAATGTATCTCAGGGCCGTGGTGTCCGATACCCGCCTCAAAAGCTGCTCGAGTAATGCAGCCGAATTTGGACTAGCCAGCACCTCTCTCAGCAGAGATGAAATGCACGATGTAAGCATGCAAAGCTCCTTCCACAATGTAAGGGCCTTCCCCACTGCCCAGAATGAATAGTAGACTGTTTAACATTCTTCTTAGGGCCTGACTCCAGGGCAGGCTCCGAGGCCTGCAAACCGCGCTTAGCTGGCAGTCCAACCGACCTGCGAGGATGCGATGTAACCTGTGTCCGCAAGATGTCCTGCTGTTCCTGAGCAATGCAGGGTGAGGTGGCCTTAGAAATCGCCCCTTGCTCAGACGCAAGTTGCCTCGAGACTTCCGAGGGGTAGGCGGCATAGTGTCCTCGCGGTGGAGGCATAGGCCTGGCCTTGGGATGTCCTGATCTGGTAACACCCGAAGCTCGCAGAGCAGGAGGCGAAGGTTTAGGTCTCGAGCTCATACTGTCTCTCGCAGAATGCAGGTGTAAGCTCTTGTGTCGCGAAGTGTACTGCTTCCAAGCTGAGGGTCTCGCTTTAGGAGCTGGCCGAGGCTCCACATTCGGTAATGGACTCGAGGACTGCAAAGGTGCCTCAAGACTCTCAGTGAAAAGTGGTCCCCGCCTCAATGGAGAAAATGACCATGTAGGAGGCTGCGAATCCTGCAAGTAGGGCAGTGCATGCCGCTCTGTGCCACTATCAACCGAATGCAGCTCACCAGAGTGAACATTGCTCCACGAAGAATCCGTAGCCAGCTGAGACGAGTGCAACTCCTCCTCCAAGGTCGGCTCCGACCGCAATGAAAATGCAGTTTCGCAAGGCTGTGGCAAAATTTCTGGATCAACAATGGAAACATCGTCGTCACCATCCGAAATGACAGATGCATCCACAAGCTGTTCCGTTTCATGAAAAGAGTCGGCAACGTCCAGTGTATTAGGTTCCGGGCTGTCATGGTCCGGTGAGGGGACCGGAGCCGAGATCGGATTGTCACTACCAGATGTAAAACTCGACAAAGCATGCTGAAGCGGATCCTCAATGGACTCCTGGACAGGTATCGCCTGTGATGGAGCCACTGGTAAATGTTTCTCCTGGAATCGCTTAACAACAACGGTCGAAGCAGGCGAAGATGAAACCTCTTCCGGGGAGGCTGCACTGTCAGACATCAAGGCACCAGAAAAGGCACCAAATGCAGCCAGAATGACTGCAATTGCCCACCTCGAAACCATGCACTCCACCTCCCTATCTCGAGCGGGAGAATGGAGCGAGCAGAGCTAAAACTCCAGAAAGGTTAATGGACCCAGAGCCTCGTCTAGAGGGCTTACAAAATGGGCCTGTTCTCAAAATTTTGTCCGATGCTCGGACACTTCAAGGCAGCTGCGAGCCTGCATGCTACATGTGCAACGCAATGTAGCAAGCATGCAAAACATAAAACCAAACACACGTGAGCAAGCACACATACCGACTCGAGTGGCAACATCACGAATAACCAACACTTCTCTTGCTTCGTCGTCATTGCCGATTCCCATATCAGCAGCTCTTCGCATGTCCAAGAAGCCGAAAGTAATAAGGTCCCCCCATGCCTTGAGTTCTCTCTTGAATGCACCACGAACTGTCCTGTAGTGTTTCATCTTGGCACGAATGCATGCTTCGCAATAAGGATTCCGGTAACGATGCCTGCATAGATGAGCGAGAGTCTTGGCTTCTGCCTTCAGGGTTCCAACCTTGGCTTTGCGCGTTGGCACCCCGTCTCCTTCTATTTCAATCTCCCTCTCGTCATCATCTTCATGTGCACGGTCGTCACCTTCATCTGGAGGGTCAGGAGGTCTTCCTGCTTCGTCTGCTGGTACTTCTTCATCAGGCGCTTCGTCAGGTATGAAATCCGGAGAGTGCTCCTCGGCTATGCCGTCGGGATCTCCTTCTTCACCTGGCGTGGCATCCACAGTAGCGGCAACAGCATTCAACGCCTTCTCGGAATCTTTCTCCTTGCCTTGGTCCAATATGGATTTGATCGTAGCCGCCATCTCGTCATCGTGTGCAACTGACTTCTGACTTCCAGCTCGCACATAGGGGATATCACCGTTGACGAACAACGAGATGCGCTTGCCATCCGGATTGATCATAAAGGGATTATTTTCGCCGGGTGGCCATACAAATCCATACCCTTGCTTCATGCACCGTTTTCCCACTGAAAGTACTGATGGCGTATCGTCGAGGACGTACACGTTGATTGGTTCCGTGAATGACTCAGTCTGAAAAGTGGATATCAAATCCGTAACGCCATTCGCTGTCTGAAATGATATAGCTTCTTCACTCACCAACGTTTCCAAACCATGCTTCTCGACTTTGCGTTGAGAGATCAAGTCATGACCACATCCAGTGTCCATGAGAAATTTGATCTTTGACCGTATCCAAGTCGGTTGCACCATGCACGTGACGGCGCTGAACTTCTTGAATTTCTTGCCCTCTTCTGGCTTCACGTCATACTCATGTAATTCGTCTTCCCCATCATAGAAAATGATCTGTCTGACTCTGTCGGATCCTGGTATTCGCACATATACATGTCGATCGCCAGGCTTGTCATCCTGCACCATGTCACTCATCATCTGCGCCTTCAACCGTGCCTTGTGCATCGAGAAACCCAATTCGTTCATTCTGTTGTCATTCTGGAAGCGTTGCTCGACGTCCACCTTAATGATCTTGTCACCTCGATCCTTGTAGGAACGTCTCGGTTTCGATGGTTGGAAGCAAACGTCGTCAGCAAACAACACCTTTTTCTTCCCTTTGGGCATAGTGGACGAAGTCCCCCTATCCCGTTCTTTGGTTGACAATGTCTTCACCATGGGTTCATCGTCAGTCGAGCAATCTGAATCAGCATCACTGTCCAATGACGAACACTCCGAGACATCATCATCATAGATGTGGTTCCGTTTCTGAATTGCTGGAGCTAAAGGGTTCCACGCTCTGCAAAGTTGAGTGGCTGGAGCTGCTGCCCCTGCGGCTTCGGCTTGGCTTCCGCCTTGCCCTTAGCCTCTGCTTTGGCTTTGGCCCTCGGCTTTCCCTCGGCAGGTGTTGCAGGGTCAATGTGCTTGTAAGGACACTTGTTCCGACTGCATGTTCCGTTCTTCTTGTACTGAAAACACTCCTTCTCTCCCTGCCCAGCTGATGGACAAAAGCTGCCATGCCAGGTAGGGCACCATGTGCTGCTTGGAAGTTGGCAGCAGAGGAAGTGGCCCCACACCTGCATGCTTATGTACAGCGAGCCTGGACCCCGGGTCCGGTGTGTGTTCCTCTTTACCTCACTGAAGCCTGGTTGCACTTCATGAGCAAACCAGGGCGTACATTGCGCACACCCGGGGACTTGCGGCCTCTTGCACTCCAAACTGGGGGTGGCAAGGCCCTCAGTCGTCTCCTGAAAAATCAGTTGACCCCACATGCTGAGAGGGTGGCACTACATGTACCACAGTTTGCATATCTGAGGAACCGTGACACACATTCAGCCATTGCTCGGGCACTGACACTCATTGACAAGGTGCGCGCGATTACACATGGTGGGCAACGACTTAGCATTCATGCACGCAAGGCTGGAGTGCAACAACAACAACGTTACGCGGGGGGAGCCACGCTCTCACTGGACCTTAGTCGTGCATTCGATTCTGTTGGGCATGGTGTGTTGTGGGAGGCTCTTATGTGGGCTGAAGTGCCGTGTGACCTGGCCACTCTCCTGATGACATGGTATCGCAGCGAATATGCTCTGGGTCAGCGGGGTGATGGTGGCTATACCAGGCGCATTAGTTTCACTAAAGGAGTCAAACAGGGTTGAGCACACATATGTACTCTTGCGATGTGATTACATATTCATGCAAGATCCTTGCATATTACCAAACAGTTTCGTTAGATTGACCCTCTCGTCCTGTACAAGACTAGATAATTATAAATCTACGCTTGAAGACGTTACTATAGTACGGCCACTTTCATTGATTGTCTTCGTCCGTTGATATGAACGGATCTTTACTCTTTGTCTACGATCGAAGACTTTACTGTGGGAAAACTAGTGTTATATGCGGGGGGATGTCTTTAATCAATTCGCTGGCTTTTTATGAACACATGCTACCTAAATAGGCCATCATTGTATTAAGAACGTTTGTGTATGTTGGAAACCGTGCAAGCACAGGCGTGGATATTCAAACGATAGCTGCGAGGTGCATAGTTTATCAGAAGGTGAACAAACATAGGAGTCAACAACTCATACATGTACTGGTCGGTTAAGAGACACCCTGACACCTCCGACGCAACCAAGCTTAGCCATGCGTCAACCTCAAGAAGATCGCGTCAGGGGCAAAACCGTCGAGGGTCTGGAGTTGCTGCGGCCACGTTCAGGAGTCTTCTTTGAGTGACTGTACGGGCACTTGTCTCCATTCCTACATTCGCCAGTTTCAGAAAAGAAGAACCTGCATCGAATGTGCTTCATCTTCGCCTTGGCATCGACCGACGCTGACCTGTCTCTGCTCTCCCCTTTCTCTCTTCCTTTCCCAGCTTTGGCTTTAGCGTGTGCTTTGGCCTTGCTTTGAGGAAGTACAGGTGCAGCTTGTTCGTTCTTCGGTGGCTTTGCAGGTTTCTTCGGAGCGGGAGTTGCGGCTTCCGATCCTTTCGCCTTCCCAGCCATGGCCGACAACGGGTCTTTGCCTTGAATCATCTGCTGTAGTCCAGCCTGCGTCTGTTTCAGCATCTTTTGTTCACGTTGCTTCTGGATGCATCGATCAATGAGATGCAACAAAGTCTGATATGATCGCTTCGGGTCGTCATAGTTGAGTATGTCGTAAGCTCCATCTTGAGCGTCGGCGATTCCTTGATTTTCGAGTGTAGGGTATCGCGTAGTGCGTTGTCAGATGGTACGTCCTCTGGTCGCATACGATCAATTCATTCCAACCACGTTTGCTTAAACACGCTCATGTGCTGATCGCCTTGATACTGCAACTTGATGAGGTATTCAAGGGTAACGACCATGTC